CCCTGACCCGGGGTGGTAGCACCTGTTCGGGCCCCAGCTATGGGAAAATAGCTAACACCCAAACTTGTGTAAAAATAGGTTTTAATACTAGAAATACTTTGTAATAAAAGACATTATCACCAGCAATCATTTTTGAAGGAAAAATTATTATCAGCAATACTTAAAAAAAAATACCAGTAATACAAACAGCTATACATTCTTTTAAAAAAATTAGAGAATGGAACTCAGAATACAAAAATGGTAAAAAGCATTATAAAAGTGTAAAAATAGGTTTTAATATCAGAAATATTTTGTAAAAAATTATTACCAGAAATAAATTTTTGAAGAAAAAGAAACTATTACCAGCAATATATCTTTGAAAAAAATATTACCAGCAATACGTTTTTGAAAAAAAAAATATTACCAGCAATAATAATCTTGTCGGCATTAAATAACCCATTGAGGTTGATATACTGTAAAACCAAAAACCAAAACAAAACAAACCTAAATTTAGGCGGAGAAATTCTGGAAAAAAAATCTCTCGTTTGTAACACGCATTGACTTTGAAGAAAAAAAAAAAATATTACCAGCAATAGGTTTTTGAAAAAAAAATATTATCAGGAATAGGTTTTTTGGAAAAAAATAATATTACCAGCAATAGGTTTTTTGAAAAAAATATTACCAGCAATAGGTTTTTGAAAAAAAAATATTACCAGCAATATGTTTTTGAAAAAAAAATATTACCAGCAATAGGTTTTTGAAAAAAAAAATATTTACCAGCAATAGGTTTTTGAGAAAAAAAAATTTCCAGCAATAGGTTTTTGAAAATATTACCAACTGTACAATTTTGAGGAAAAAATATTACCAGAAATACATTTTTGACAAAACATAATATTACGAACATACACAGCTTTTTTTACTAAACTATTGTTATGAAACTATTTCAAAAATTTTGTTGGCATTAAATGACCCACTGAAGTTGATATACCATAAAACAATACGACCAACTAACCAACAAATAAAATAATTTTTTACACTTTCAAAGATAAACCAGTGAACCAAACAAATGCTTAGAGGGTTAACTGACAACGAGCAATATTTACGTCTTCCCTGACCAAGTAAATGCTTATAGGCTCAAACAACAAATATTAACCTATCCTTGAACCACGTAAAAACCTTCTGACTCAAATATGTCACCACCATTTACTAACCAAGTAGATTCTTATGGATACAAATACAATAAAGAAAAAAAACCTTTTTGACAATAAGGCATTAATGTCCACTGTATTTTTTCAATCGTTTCATCTCATGTAAGGCGATAGTGCCACTAAGACGCAAGAGATTAATGAGTTTGAACGAAAATGGGAAATACGTTAGTGAGGAAAAGGGACAATAAAAAAGCAAAGCTGTAACCCAGAAGAGAATTCCACAGGCAAGATGTGCAAGAAAAGAAACTTTTAGAATAGGACTTACAGTTGCATCTAGCTATTTCAACAATAAACACGATGCGACCTAATAGCCAATCTAGTAATACGCTTCAATTTATGCTGTCGAGGCACCAAAGAGGAAATCTCATTAGAAAAAATATTTATATAAAAAACAGATGGAAGCTCTGTTAAGGCGGTGGGAAAGGGACTGAAGCCGAGATGCCAGGTTAAGACCGGTACCATTACAGACCCTTATTTGGATTTTGTCAAGAATCTCCAGATATATAGTAGGATCGCCAGACGATATGTAACAATAATATTCAAATGGTAGATTCATAGACGTGAAAGATGTTTACAGGCGAGAAAAAATTGTTTCACACCGCATAAAGAACCCTAGCAGCGGATCTAACAATTGATTCAATATAATCGTTCCACTTCACGTCAGTGGAAAACGTGAAACCGAGAGGGTGTAATGAGTTGCTTTCCTGGGGGTTAGCATCAGCCATGCTGATGGCTGGTGAAAAGAGTTCTCTAAGATGAGTTAAAATTTACAAGCCGTTTCTTGCCCCAGTTAACAACTGATTGGAGGTCATTTTTGAGATCAGCTGCCAGTTTTACTTTATCGGACTTGCTATTAAGATAGAAGCAAATAGTTATCCTGATTACTTATAAAAGATAGAATTAAAAAAATCTGGTATTAGTTATAGGTTCCATCCTATAAACTATTAATGGCTACCGTCTTATTTCTGGACCGGTGGGCATTTAATGGATTAAATAATGCAACAATTATTAATAGATCGGACCAGGATCAAAACGTAGTATCTGTTATCCTAATTTTAGATGGGAGAAGTGACTTGGTCCCGGGGATTCCAGCACCTTCCTCAAGAGGGCTTGGGTCGATGTAATATTGCCGATAGCGTAACAATGGTAATGGGACTGGACAATTTTTGTCATTGGCCAATATGTATGCGTATGGGCTCACTGAAATAATACATTTTCACACATTGTAGCTTAGTGGAGATGTCAGGTAAATACCTAAAAAAAAATAATGTCATAAAATCAAACGGCAAAACTCAACTCAATCTAGAGATTTTCGGGTTTCAAATGAATATTAGTGCCCGGCCCCAGGGGGGACGATTCCCCTTAGGCATTCATTATCCCGCCTTCATGTGGGAATAGGGGTCATTACCAGGTGTCTCAGATATTCCTAAAAGAGGAGGTGATGCGGAGGTTTCAGTCATTTTTGGACGGCTGTCGCAGTCCAAGTTAAACTTCGACATTGTGTCTTGTTTTGCACGACGTGGTCGGACGAATAAATACAGCCCTCATATTTCAAGATGATCAAGAAGCCAGAGAGAAAATACAAATAATTATGTCCAAGAATTTAACTGAAGAAGTGACATCTGTTATTATTATATAATTATTTTGTGTACCAGAAAAAAGGCTCCCTTGGACGGGTGGGGCGAAATTATTGAGCAAACAAAGGTACAATTGAGAATAAAAAATAGCAGAATCTATTCTGATACGCCAATCAACATATACATATTGACTGTGGGCACCTCGAAACGGTGTAATGGTTAACAAGCTTATCTCGCTTGACTGAGTCGTGAATTTTTAATCCATACTGGGTGCTCTCTACATTCGATCTTGTGCCACATCTACGCTACGCTTGGAAATTCACTATACGTATAGAATGAAGATGGTTAGCGATTTGCAAGTCGAAATACAGAAGATTTAAGTCTAAATTTAGAATTAAAGAATATTTTTAATAACTGACATCCGGTCAGGATTCTTCATCGGAAGTTGGCGTGTAAAAAACTTCATGAGGCGAGACTGACTCAAAGTATTTTTTTTTATGAATCTTCACTATTTTCCAGACAGGAATAAATGCCAGAGATAAACAGACATTGGGATGAACTAGAGAAAAAAAATGAAGTGAAAGGAATGATTGATTTATTCGGTTTTTACGGCTTATCAACCCTTTGCAGGTTATTTAAAGCCATAAAATATTTTTAGAGTGTAATAATTTTTTGAGATAATGTTTTAGTGATACAAGTAGAAAGAAATAAAGAAAGAATGAAATAGACAGAAACTAGACAGAAAGAAAGAAAGAAAGAAAGAAAGAAAGAAAGAAAGAAATAGACAGAAACTAGACAGAAAGAAAGAAAGAAAGAAAGAAAGAATGAAATAGACATAAACTAGAAAGAAAAAAGAAAGAAAGAAAGAATGAAATAGACAGAAACTAGAAAGAAAGAAAGAAAGAAAGAATGAAATAGACAGAAACTAGAAAGAAAGAAAGAAAGAAAGAAAGAAAGAAAGAAAGAAAGAAAGAATGAAATAGACAGAAACTAGAAAGAAAGAAAGAAAGAAAGAAAGAATGAAATAGACAGAAACTAGACAGAAAGAAAGAAAGAAATAGACAGAAACTAGAAAGAAAGAAAGAAAGAAAGACATAGAGAGAACTAGAAAGAAAGAAACAAATAGTCAGAATATGAAAAAAAAGAAATAGAAGGAGAAAGAAAGAATGAATGAATGAAATTGACAGATCTAGAAAGAAAGAAAGAAAGAAAGAAAGAAAGAAAGAAAAAAAGAAAGAAAGAAAGAAAGAAATAGACAGAAATGTTAATGGAAGGAAGGCACGATCGCGACGGAGGAAAGTTATCATGTGATCCAGAGGTCAAAGGTAAATAAATGAAAAGAATCAGTCAGATAAAAAACAGAAAGAAAAAAAAAGCAAACACTGCAAATTCGAACCAAGCGACAAATGAAAATAAGGAAAAAGAGAGAAAGATAAATAGAGAGAGAGAAAAAAGAGATTGAGAGAGAGTGGGTGCTTAACAGGGAAGAGATGTAAGAAGAGACAAAGAGGAAAACAAAGTGTAGACGCCTGATAGAAATTTAGACCAATGGGAAAAAAACCACGGGAGGAAGTCATGCCGAGAGAAATGAAATGAATTGAGAGAAACAGACGGACATTTTTGCTTTTTAAAACGCAGTTTTAATGATATTTCAGGAAAATGTTAGCAAAGAATTATCTTAACCTTTTTCTGTCTCCTCCCAACAAACACCTTTTAATAATTCCTCGGGCAAATTATATTCTATCAAATTCTTGTAGCATTATCGTTTTTAATGAAGAAGGGAAAGAGAAAAGATGGTGGACAGTGTGCGGTTAAGTGGGAAAACGGTGAAGTATGTGGGGGCCTAAATATCTTCCCTCGCCCAAATCATGATCTTTTAATGAAGAAGGAGGAGCTTAATTTCATGTTTAATTTGCTTTTATTTCAATTATATTGTATATTTTATTTGGCTCTAGACTAACAGCAAAAGAAAAAAAAATACTGCCAGAGGGTGGCTTTTCTGCTAAGCTCAAAAATAAATATATATAAATTATACTTGGTATGCGTTCAAGTTAATAATTAAAAAAAAAGTTCGTATAATAAGTAAATAAATAAATAGATAAATAAAATATTGAATCTCAACAACCTCCACCCTAACCTTGTCTCTTATCCATTAGCCATAGACGACAAAGAGCATAGTTACGTGCACGTAATGCAAGAGTTAACGTGTTAAACACTCTTGCTCCACCTCTCTGGTTTACGGCCATATCACGTTGAAATACCGGTTCCCGTACGATCAAGTAAGTTAAGCAACACCAAGCCTGGTCAGTACCTAGATGGGTGACCGCATGGGAATACCAGATGCTTGAATGTAAGGGTGATGTAACGGAATTGTTAACCGGAGAAGCAAGTTCCAATTTCGGTAGGGTACGTTATATTCACTTACACGCGAATACCTTTGAGAAAGGTATGGATCCACCTCTTCTCCCCCAGCTATGGGTTAATTATTAAAACTTGCATCACTAAACCATTATTATCTCAAACAATCATTCTTACAATCTAAAAACATTTTCTGACTTTAAATAACCTTCAAGTGGTTGGTAAGCCGTAACAAACGAATCAATCAATCAATTCTCATCTCATTCGATGTATTTCTTTTTCTCTCACCTTACGGCCGTATCACGTTGTAAAACCGGTTCCATACTATCACCGGAGTTTTGCAACGTGGAGCCCGCTCAGTACCTAGATGGGTTAATGCTATACAAGAATAGAGTGTCGCTGCCGACACTTGAGATTGAACATAGATCGCCAGTGAGCAAACACGGGCGATCCCATTATTGAATTAAGTGGGTCGCGTGACCATGGAGGAAATGCATATATAGGAAGTCACGTGACGTCTGGATTGATCGTTATTTTTATTCTGTCCTCTATTACTATACGGATCACCATTTCTAGTCTATACTATTTCTCTAATCTGTTCACTACTATTTCTCTATTCGGATCACTATACAGATTACTTACTATTCGAGCGAGTCTTATCGAGCAAGTACTATTAGCGCGAGTGATATTCGAAGGCGTCTGACACCAGTATTGTTCAACGGCGTTACTATAGTTGTATCTGCGATTACAAAGTCTATACTACAACGAGCATTACGAAAGTGACAACGAGTATTCAGTGGCATTACAAGAGTGGCAACGAGTGTTTGTTGACATAAAAGTTAATCGGAGTGCCGAGTTCAAATTCCAGTTGCGTTCGTTGTATTCATTGGAAAAGATATGAATCAGTCTCTCTTCCCTCAGCTATGGATTAATTAGTGTTATAGAGTAGTTTCACAGTGGAGGCGTGTATTTCACTAAGTCGGTCCTAAAAAGGTTCGGCGTACAAAACGTTAGGAACTTGAAATAATAGTTAATGACGCAGCAATCTAGTTGTGGTGGTTGATACTTTAATGTCCGATATCGACTGACTGAGCAACTCACTGAGCGCCCTGGCGACTGCTACTACTACTACTTATTATATGTGGGAAAGTCTATTAACAGTAGAATAGGTATGTTCCAGTATAACAATTAGTAAGTCTTGTATCACTAAGCTGTTATTTTTTCCCCAAAAATATTTTTACAATCTAAAAATATTTCCTGGTTTGAAATAACCTTCAAAAGGTTGATAAGCCGTAAAAATCAAATCAATCAACCCTCTCTTTCACTCTCATTGTTTCGTTTTTTTGTTGTTTTTTTGTTGTTTTTTTTTTATTATTTTAATTTCCTACACAGTTAATATCTTTCTATTGCGAAATTATAAATATATAATATGATACAAGACCTTTTTTATCTGGAAAATTATAAATCAAAAAGTAACGTTTCTCAAATAGTGGTTTTTGACTTTGGTTCAATTGAATTCTAAGAGTTTGTTGAGTCATTCTCATGAGCTCGGCAGAGGTCAACATATGTCAATGATGAATACCTCAATGAAATTCAACGTTTTGGTGTTACCAAATCGTAATGTACCCACTTTATTCCTAAGAAACCCCTCATACTCATATTGTTGGCTACAACGTATGGTTGTGAGCATACAACCTCTACCATGTCTACCATTCTCCTCAAGTACACATGACCCCAGTGAATAAAAACTTTGGTTGAAGTAATCCAGTGACTTGAGCCAAAGAGTTGTGAGTTCAATACCTGGCTACAGCAGAGGTGAACAAACAGCTCAGAGAGTTGAGTTATTAAAGGAAGATAACTGATACTGAGCTAACCGGGAGAGGCATGGCTCGTCGAACTAGAACAATCTACTCCGGTGGACGAAATAAAGGGTTCGATTCAAAATTCCAATCACCTGAAGAATGCCGGAGCGTGCAACGGTCGAAACGTTGTGAATATGGCAACAAAAATGAGGATAGTATTCCGAACAATACCTCATCTCAGAAATGTAGACAGATCCTGAAGAAGGCCAGGGCACAACAACGGCCGAAACGTTGTGAATATGGCAATAAAGATGAGGACAACGGTCTGAACAATGGAAATAATGTAAATAATTACAATACCTCATCTCAGAAATGTAGACAGATCCTGAAGAAGGCCGGGGCATAGCAACGGCCGAAACGTCGTGAATATGGCAACAAAGATGAGGACAATATTTCGAATAATGTAAATAGTAGAAATAATTACAATACCTCATCTCAGAAATGTAAACAGATTAGTGTATATATTGGTTATTATTATTATTAATAATAATCTCTCTATTTGACATTATTTATTATTGACGTTATTATTATTATTGTTATTATTAATATTATTAATAATCTCTCTTTTTGACATTATTTATTATTGACATTATTATTATTGTTATTATTAATATTATTAATAATCTCTCTTTTTGAATTTATTATTGACGTTATTATTATTATTGTTATTATTAATATTAATAATCTCTCTTTTTGACATTATTTATTATTGACGTTATTATTATTATTGTTATTAATAATATTAATAATCTCTTTTTGACATTATTTATTATTGACGTTATTATTATTATTGTTATTATTAATATTATTAATAATCTCTTTTTGACATTATTTATTATTGAAGATTATTATTATTGTTATTATTAATATTATTAATAATCTCTCTTTTGACATTATTTATTATTGACGTTATTATTATTATTGTTATTATTAATATTATTAATAATCTCTTTTTTGACATTATTTATTATTGACGTTATTATTATTATTGTTATTAAATATTATTAATAATCTCTCTTTTTGACATTTTTATTATTGACGTTATTATTATTATTGTTATTATTAATATTATTAATAATCTCTCTTTTGACATTATTTATTATTGACGTTATTATTATTATTGTTATTATTAATATTATAATAATCTCTCTTTTGATTATTTATTATTGACGTTATTATTATTATTATTATTAATATTATTAATAATCTCTTTTTGACATTATTTATTATTGACGTTATTATTATTATTGTTATTATTAATATTATTAATAATCTCTCTTTTGACATTATTTATTATTGACGTTATTATTATTTTATTATTATTTTATTAATATTATTATAATCTCTCTTTTGACATTATTTATTATTGACGTTATTATTATTATTGTTATTATTAATATTATTAATAATCTCTTTTGACATTATTTATTATTGACGTTATTATTATTATTGTTATTATTAATATTATTAATAATCTCTTTTGACATTATTTATTATTGACGTTATTATTATTATTGTTATTATTAATATTATTAATAATCTCTCTCTTTTGACATTATTTATTATTGACGTTATTATTATTATTGTTATTATTAATATTAATAATCTCTCTTTTTTGACATTATTTATTATTGACGTTATTATTATTATTGTTATTATTAATATTATTAATAATCTCTTTTTGACATTATTTATTATTGACGTTATTATTATTATTGTTATTATTAATATTATTAATAATCTCTCTTTTTGACATTATTTATTATTGACGTTATTATTATTATTGTTATTATTAATATTATTAATAATCTCTCTTTTTGACATTATTTATTATTGACGTTATTATTATTATTATTATTATTAATATTATTAATAATCTCTTTTTTGACATTATTTATTATTGACGTTATTATTATTATTGTTATTATTAATATTATTAATAATCTCTCTATTTGACATTGAAATTTGAATTAAAACTTCAAGTTTTCAATATTAAATTTGTTTCATTTTATATATGAGACTTTTTTTTTTATTTATCAGACTGGGATTTTGTCTACTTTGAGGATAAGAGGCTGCGATGATGTCCGCTGAGTTTTTATCATTCATTTATTTAAACTGCTAATTATAAACTACAGTGTGCGATTGTCGCCATTTTAAATTTTTAAATTCGCGCATGTGCGTTGTTTGTTTTTGATTTTTTCAACTGCACGGTACAGTAGGGTCAGTTGGGCACCGTCTGTAAGAAAAAGAACATCATGACGCAATTCACAGCGCCAGAAATTTGGAAACGGTATGCTGTATTGCTTGGCATTCGCGCCGGAAGCTCCAATAGGAACATTTCAGAGTATTTAGGTGTCTCTCTGAGGACAGTACAGAGGATTCTCAAAATTAACTCCTGTCGTTCTGATAAGAAAAGAATTCGTTGGTGTGGACCTCAGACTCATCACAGAGTCCTACATTAAGTGCCTTGAAGAAATAATGCTACTCTGAGTCAAGAGGGTGGCTGTTGGAAGTTCCTATGTTTGGCAACAGGACTCTGCACCATGCTACACAAGCAGAAGAACCCAGTCATGGCTGTCAGACAATTTCTACGACCACAGCATACCTTACATCTGGCCACCTTTCTCCCCAGAATGCAACCCCCCCTTGATTACTATGTTTGGGGCGCAGTTGAGCTAGAGACCAACAAAACTCCATGTAACACCAAAGGTGAACGGAAGGCGATGATTATGGCAGCATTCACCTACCTAAGCAAGGAAACCGCCCAGAAGAGTTGCAGGAGATTCCGAAGTCGTCTGAAGGCCGTGGTTGAAGCCAATGGCGATTTTATTGAATAAATTTACTCTTTAGTATTTCAAGATACTTTTGTGTAATTTTGGTAAATATATATGTTAAAATGAGATGGCAGTGTTATTTTCATTTTTGAAATTTGTAATTTAGACGACAATTTATCCATCGGACCCTGTTTCATTTTAGAAAGTGAATATTTCACTGAAATCTACTGAAAAATTTCGACGTTATTATGTAAAAGGAAGACATTACGATCTTTAAGCAAATAGTAATTATACGAAAAGGCGTCAGTTTAAACTTACACCAGGAGCATAAGAGTATTGAATTAGACATGC